GTAAGACCCACAAACAAACAGCTGTCCTGGCACAATGTAACGGCTTCAGTTAGCACAACTGCCAAGAACTCCCTAAGGCTGTTTCAAGTCCCTTGGTTTAGGTGTTACCATCTCACCTGTTTTCAAAATCCCTTATGTATCCAGGGCTAATGAGCTTGGCCAATGCTCTACTGAATTAAATGTCCCCGTGCAGCAGACAACATGAAGTATAAAAGTGCTGCATCTGGCTACGAAATAAAGCATTTGGCCAGGCGGCTGCAGAACGAACGCTGGTGTTGCTTGCACGGTCCATTCCCAGGCTGTCAGGTGCTGCCCCTTTGTCCAGTTAGCTTCACAGGAGCACCGCCTGGTATGCCTCAAGGCAAGGTGGCACTTCAAGGTTTTTAAAAAACACTTAAAATTGTTTCTTTAGGGAAAATATTTATTGACATAATCCTTTGACTGGCATTCCTCAAACTAAGCATTAGTGTCAGGGCTCCTGGAACCATTCAAACTAAACTCAAACTGCTATTAATAACTTACCATGAAAATGCCTGCACCTTCTTCTGATACCTGTTTGGCTTTACTCTCAGCAACTCCTTTTCTATTACAAGAATGTAAAAACAGAGCCTGCCAATGGAAGTTAAGGCATTCCATTTTCTTTATTTAAAGAGGAAGAGGTATAATTAAAAATGGCAGTATTAAAGCCACTAAATCATTGATACTAGAGAGTATCAATATTATCAATACTGCGCTCAGCTTATGGTATGGCGATGGGTTTTGCAGATACGGCTTCATTTCTGAGACCTGAATTATTTTTCCTGGTGGTCCCCAACTCATTTATCCCTCTTCTGAATTCACGACTGCAGAAAAGTTTCAGGTCATTGCCCTAGAATAACAAATATTTTTTATAATATGTGCTTATTTAATCCCAACCTAATGAAATATAGCTATGTGTGTGTTAGCCTTTAAAAACACATCCAAATGTTGTCACTTAAATGTAATTATTAAGTATAAGAGGGAAACAAAGCCTTCTTGCTGCTTGACAGCTGTGTTGGCTGTAGCCATTTTCAGAGCTGGGAGAGGAAGAAGAGAAACTTGAGTTAATTTAGAGCACTCCTAAAATTAATAGATATTACTAACTGAAGGCTTTTGTAATTGCATACCATGACTACTTAATTACCAAAGCTAAAAAATGATGATCTCATCTTTCATTTGCTGTCCTAGACCTGCTCTCTTCAGTTCTACATTAAAAACCAGTATGATGTAGCCCAGCGTGGAGGTTTTTGCAGCAAAGTTTGCATTACTTTTTGGTGATTTTTCCTAAAAAGATACAGGTGCCTTGGTTTTTATTCTTCCACATAAGCATGAGGTACTGGGTAAGTTACATAGCATTACTATTAAATGCACTCTGTAAGTGATCTCCATCTGGCTAGCTAGTTTCTTATTGTTCCCCCTTACACTCACTGATGCTAATTACCTATTACTTGTGGATTTGGGCTTTTTATTCCTCCTCTCCAAACTGGAAAATGTAGAAGAGTTAAAAACTTCATCTATTAACATTCAGCTCTGGTAAAATGGTACAACAAAGGTAAGGACTGATTAAATCAGGAAGCCAAACTCTCAAGTGATGAAATTTCTCTGTTTAGACAGAGAAAGGATGCTATAAATAAACACGAAGTTTTGAGGGAAGCATTAAATACTGTTTTGTCATATGTGTCATTAAACTAACCTAATACCAAACCTTCGCTTGCAGGTACCACAACTTCCTGGCTTTTCCTGGCTGAAGCCCTGCCTTTCAGCATCTGATATCGTGTACATTGGTTTTA